TTCCCTGAACATTGCTGTTATCCTGTACTTTTTTTCAAGATGTCCAGATTTCATATTGTTCAAACACACATGCTCTACAAACAATTTGTGCAGTTAACGCAATCATCACAGGGTCCTGAGGCAACATATATCCTCCTCAGCCTACGAAGAAGATGACGGGATTAAGAGATTAAAGTAAAGACAGGCACAGGAAATCACAAGGGTATTGATCAGGGAAGTGAGAAGTGTCCATGAAATCTTCACAATTTATGTTCAGAGATTGCAGTAAAGACAGGCATAAGAAATTATAAAAGTATTAATTTGGGGAACTAATAAATGTCCATGAAATCTTCACAATTTATGTTCTTCTGCTGCGGCTTCAGCCGGTCCCTCCATTTGGGGTCCCTGACTCCCCGCAACAACTGAACCCAATTTGTAGACTTTTATCCCTCACCCCCTTGCCACCCTTTCCCCCTGAGTCCCCAAAGTCCATTGTGTCATTCTTATGCCTTTGCATATCCAATATATGTTTATTATATGTAAATATATAATTATGTGTGTTTTATATTTTTATTGTATATATAAGATGCATATAAAAATATATTTTATTATATAATATAATATATATATAAGGCTTATCATCTTCTAAAGGGTAGGAACTGCTGATAAGCCACCCCCCTTGTTTTAAAGCTAGAAAACCAATTTCTGAAATCTGAAATAATTTTGCAGTGTCACAGACAGATACAATTTTGCAATGTCACACAGCTTGGGACAAAGCAAGGCCCCCAGGTCTCCTCACTCTGTTTTGTCAGAGCACTGAAAGTGGAAACTTGAAATATTCAAGCTAACGCTCTCTCTCTCTTCCATGTTTTCTAATTTACCACTGCATTTATAACATGGGAAGCTAACCTCATATGATAGAATTACTCTCCATCCTCATATTTTTTCCCAATCCATATAAATAAGAAAGAGTCAGTCTAGAAGCTAGGATATTGAGATACAGTGAACAAAAGTCACTGGGGACTGTCCTATAAATTGGAGGCATCTGCAGCTGCTGGTAGAACATGCTTTGAAAACTCAGGAAAGACCTTTTTCACTACAAATAGCTCCACAAAGATTTTTTCATTCTCAGTATGAGAGTTTTCTTTAAGGATCTTATGCAGACAATGGATAAGGATCATACTGGCAGACAACGAGAGTTAAGTGAAATAATGTATGCGAAACATCGAAGGCTTAATAGATTTCCATTGACCTTGTCATTACTCATAAAATCTATTTGTGATTAGCATTTTTCCTCCTTAAACCAAAATTACTTACTGAAACTGCTGAGTAATGTTAAGAACATCTAAGGTTATATATTTCTTTAACTGAGCCAAAATTCACCAAAAAGCTCACCATTTTAAAGTGTACAATTCAGTTATGTTTAAGACCTTTGTAAGGTTGTACAACCATCATCTCTATTCAGTTCGAAACATTTTCACTTGATCTTAGCCAAAAGGCCTAGAAGCAATAGATCAAAACATTTTCATCACTCCAAATGGAAATCTGTCAAGCAGTTACACTTCATCCTGCTTCCCTGCAGCAGCCCCTCTCTGCAGGGAAAGCAACCAAAAATCTGCTTTCTGTCTCTGTGGATTTCTCTATCTGTACATTTCCTATAAACGAAATCATAGAGTAGGTGACCTTCTGTGTCTGGCTTCTTTCACCTACAGTATAATGTTCTGAAGGTTCATCTCTGTCATTGCATATATCATTACTTTATTTATCCTTTTAGCTGAATAATATCCTATTGTATGGGTGTACCACATTTTATTTATTTATTCTCACCAGTTGATGGACATTTTGATTGTTTCCACATTGTAGATTTTGTGAATCATGCTGCCATAAACATGCATGTACAAGTATTTGTTGAATACTTATTCGTTCTATTTTCAAGCCTGACTCATCTCCTGAATTCCAGAACTGTCATCCCAACATGTTTTATATTTTTCTTTGGCCTTCTTCTGCACTTGAATATAATTCAAACTCCTTGGATATCCAATGAGTTTCTGCATTTTCAGGCTTCTGCCCCCAAAATGCGGCTGCTCCTTGTGCCTGTAATCGGCCGACAGGTCAACCACTTTTCAAACTCTGGGTCCCTGCTTTTGCAGGTTCCTCTCCCTGGAATCATTTCAACTGGTCTTGTCATGTTTACCTGATTCTCAGCCTTCAAAGACTAGCTCAAATATCACCTTCTTAGAGACACCTTCCTATGGGACCCACATGGCAGGATAGTTTCTCTTCCTGATTCCTCCATTTATTTATTTTATAACTCCCATAACATCTGTGATTTTCTCATAGATTCTTTATTTACTGTCTGCCTCTCCTCAAAAGAGTTTTAGCTTCATGAAAGCAGAGATGTGGCTTTGCACCTTGCCTGGCACATAGTATATGTTCAAAAAATGCTAGTGAAATAAATAATTCTCTTATGGTTACCTTAACTTCAACACTTCCATGTTTAGACTCGATAGTTTCTCTCCAAAACTCATGTAGTTAATACCAATGGGCAGAAACCAACTGAACTGATTCCTGAAGAAATAGAGCACTCGTCAATTAGCTTTGGATGCATATGCTTGGGGTTTTGAGACATGCAGATACAGCATCTCAGGTTGGACCCTGAATCATGAGGGTGCTTCGTGCATAATTTAGGAGGTCCAAAATGATGATGAAGATGAGGAAGGAAAAAGTAAAGAAAGAACAACATAAGAAGGACTGAGAAGCTCCTATAATTACCTAACAAGACTGAGAAGATCAAATTTTAATATTTTTCCCAATGCAGTATGTTTTCCAATATAGCAGACACACAGAGTAGACTCTGCACAGTAGAACAAATCTTGACTTGGGCAGATGTACTAATTGGATCTGTTTATGTGATTTCTCTTCCTCCTCCTCCTCCTCCTTCCTCCTCTTCCTCCTCCTCTTCTTCTTCTTCCTCCTCTTTCTCCCTCCTCCTCCTTCTTTCTTCAAGACAGGATCTTGCTCTGTCACCCAGGCTGAAGTGCAGTGGCACGATCATAGCTCACTGCACTGTTGACCTTCTGAACCAAAGCGATCCTCCCACCTCAGTCTCCGAAATAGAATGTATATCTTTTTTTTTTTCATTTTCATAAAAAAAATAGAGATGAAGTCTCACTATGTTGCCCAAGCTGGTCTTGAACTCCTGGGCTCAAGCAATCCTTCCACCTCAGCCTCCCAAGTAGCTAGGACCACAGGCATGTGCCACCACACCTGGATAATTTTTTTTTTTTTGTAGAGACCGGTCCTTGCTGTGTTGCCCAAGCTGGTCTTGAACTCCTAGGTTCAAGGGATCCTCCCACCTCGGCTTCCAAAACTATCAGGATTAAAGGCATGAACCAAACCACTGTGCCTAGTCAATTTATGTGATTTTTATGTCTGTTTAGCATTGCAGAGTCCTGCAAACTGCAAGCAGATTAGTTCTATAAGAACAAAGACTCCTTGTCCTCATTCAAAATATCAGATTCTGTGGTAGCTTCAGGAGATGTGGGGCCTGTCTTCCTCACAGTGCCCTTCCCAACTTGTCTAAAAGCACAGCATTAAGGTAACAGGGTCTTTGCATCAGAGCTCTTTCCCTTTTAGGATGGAAATTCCTCTTTCGATGTAACAGCCAAGTTCATCTCTGCGCCGGAACTTAGGCTGTCAGAACACACCATATATTTTCTTCTTTTATTCACTGTGATGCTTTTGTACCAAACAGAGTCTGTTTCATGAAAACAAATGAATAAATTAAATAATCAGTTGAGTTGTCTTATTTTCCACCAAATAAACATGTAGATAGACTCTGTAGCCACAAACATTACCATAATACCTTCTGAGTAGTAAAGAAAGAGTGCGTGAACTGCCCCTTTTCAAACTTTTTACCCCCAGTCTCTGCAGTGCCAACATTTTGCAGAGACAACTTTCCTTTTACTAGGTCTTTCATTCGTGCCAGTAGCAGTGGGCTTATACTGGAAGCCCAGAGAGATCACATTTGTAATAGAACTGTTTGTGCTGAAAGAGAAATTATGCTTGTCACTTAGAGCTTGCTAGAGAAGCACAGTAAAATCCCCGAGAGGAATTACAGATCTAATAATGAGTTTACTCTTCCTGTCCCCGTCTGTCTGGGGAATGGGGGGAGCTGACAATGTCAGCTGTGCCTACAGACATCCCTCGCACTGATAAATCTGCTTCCCCCTGAAGCTCTTCCCAACATAGCATGGCTTTAATTTATCACCCCTTTGGCTTTGCTCAGGGATCACTGAGTTCTGCCAGCTAGCATGATGTTAAATCCATGCCAAGCTAATGTGTCCAGTTTTTCCAAGTGGCTTTAGAGAAGGGTCGTGGAGACAGGCAAGAAAACACACAAGGCGGCATTGTGCAAATTCAATGTCAACTCCTTACATCTGCCCCACATCCCTTTCTGATTCAAGGCCACTCAGCTGATTCCTGCAGAGACATTCATTCCAAGGTGGCTTTCCACCTTCCAGTGGTACCTCTGTAGCTGCCCCGAATCGCTGCACCATGAAAAATCTCCTTAAATAAAACCAGCCTCTGAACGCACTCGACAAAGTCCTGCATGTTGAAGCCTGCAATCTGCAAAACTGCACCATCTTTCTAAAGCTGCCTGGTGCTTGCATTTTGAGAGGAGGATGAAGTTAATTAGTGGAGGTGGAAAATAAATATCACAGAGCAGCTGGACATGGGGGAGCTTGCAGCGTCAGCAATTCATGGACACTCACCCTGCTACCCAAACAGAAAAGGGACCCCTGGAGACTTGAACAGAAGGTTGAGTATTTATAAGAAATGCCTGTGTGGCACTCCGGGGCCACCGGTAAATATTTCAGAGGCTGGCGTATTTTCCATAACGGATGACTGTTTGGGTGGGCAGGAAGTGGAGTCGCTATGAGTAGTCAGAATAACATTCCAGGACTGTAAATGCTTAATGAGCGTGTGTGCGCATGCACAAACGCACACACACACACACACACACACAGAGAAAGCGCCACCTTCCTCAAAGACAGGAAGTCCTTCATTGTTGAAGGAACCAAAATAAAATGACTTGTGGTTTTCCCCATATCCTCTTGCGTTGTAAGTAAAGAGTTTCTCCAAACCCTATTTATTCCCCATTCCTTGCAGAAAAATGCTGGTACATTTTTACCGCAGGAGGCACAGTCACCCCAGAGCCACACAGCAATGGATATTTAAGAATAAGGTAAGGTTGAGTATTTTTACTTTTATTTTTTATTTTTTTGAGACAGGGTCTCTCTCTGCGGCCCAGGCTGAAGTGCAGTGGTGTGATCTTGGCTCACGGCATTGATCTCCTGGGCACGAGAAATCCTCCCACCTCAGGCTCCCAAGCAGCTGGGACTACAGGCATGTACCACTTGCCTGGCTAATTTTTTTTGGGTTTTGCCATGTTACCCTGGCTGCTCTCGAACTCCTGAACTCAAGCATTCCACTGGCCTCAGACTCCCGAAGTGCTGGGATTACAGGCATGAGCCACCACACCTGGCCTCTTATTTGTAATTTTTACAGGTTTTTTTTTTTTTAATAGATTTAGGGGATACCAGCACAGTTTTGTTACATGGAGAGATTGCAGAGTGCTGAAATCCGGGCTTTTACTGTAACTATTACTCAAATAGTGTACATTGTATCCACTAGGTAATTTCTCATCCCTCACCTTCCTCCCCCTCTCCCTCCTTTCCCAGTCTCCAATGTCTGTTATTCCACTGTCTATGTCCATGTCTACACAGCATTTAGCTCCCACTTATAAGTGAGAACATGGGGTGTTTGTCTTCCTGTTTTTGAGTTGTTTCACTTAGGATAATGTCCTCCAGTTCTATCCATGTTGCTACAAAAGTCATGATTTCGTTCTTTTGTGGGGCTGTGTGATATTCCATGGTGATATGGTTTGGCTGTGTCCCCACACTAATCTCATCTTGAATTGCAGCTTCCATAATTCCCACATGTTGTGGGAGGGACCCAGTGGGAGACAATTGAATCATGGGGGTGGTCTCCCTCATAATGTTCATATGGTAGTGAATAAGTCTCACGAGATCTGATTTTTTTTTTAATTATACTTTAAGTTCTAGGGTACATGTGCACAACATGCAGGTTTGATACATAGGTATACATGTGCCATGCTGGTTTGCTGCACTCATCAACTCATCATTTACATTAGGTAGTTCTAATGCTATCCCTCCCCCAGACACCCACCCCCCAACAGGCCCCGGTGTGTGATGTTCCCCGCCCTGTGTCCAAGTGTTCTCATTATTCAATTCCCACCTATTAGTGAGAACATGTGGTGTCTGGTTTTCTGTCCTTGTGATAGTTTGCTGAGAATGATGGTTTCCAGCTTCATCCATGTCCCTGCAAAGGACATGAACTCATCCTTTTTTATGGCTGCATAGTATTCCATGGTATATATGTGCCACATTTCTTAATCCAGTCTATCACTGATGGACGTTTGGGTTGGTTCCAAGTCTTTGCTATTGTGAATAGTGCCACAATAAACATACCTGTGCATGTGTCTTTATAGTAGCATAATTTATAATCCTTTGGGTATATACCCAGTGATGGGATTGCTGGGTCAAATGGTATTTCTGGTTCTAGATCCTTGAGGAATCTCCACACTGTCTTCCACAATGGTTGAACTAATTTACACTCCCACCAACAGTGTAAAAGTGTTCGTATTTCTCCACATGCTCTCTAGCATCTGTTGTTTCCTGACTTTTTAATGATTACCAGTCTAACTGGCGTGAGATGACATCTCATTGTGGTTTTGATTTGCATTTCTCTGATGACCAGTGATGATGAGCATTTTTTCATGTGTCTGTTGGCTGCATAGATGTCTTCTTTTGAGAAGTGTCTGTTCATACCCTTTGCCCACTTTTTGATGGGGTTGTTTGTTTTTTTCTTGTAAATTTGTCTGAGTTCTTTGTAGATTCTGGATATTAGCCCTTTGTCAGATGGGTAGATTGCAAAAATTGTCTCCCATTCTGTAGGTTGCCTGTTCATTCGGATTGTAGTTTCTTTTGCCGTGCAGAAGCTCTTTAGTTTAATAAGATCCCATTTGTCTATTTTGGCTCTTGTTGCCATTGCTTTTGGTGTTTTAGTCATGAAGTCCTTGCCCATGCCTATGTCCTGAATGGTATTGCCTAGGTTTTCTTCTAGGGTGTTTATGGTTTTAGGTCTAACATTTAATCCAACTTGAATTAATTTTCTTATAAGGTGTAAGGAAGGGATCCAGTTTCAGCTTTCTACATATGGCTAGCCAGTTTTCCCAGCACCATTTATTAAATAGGGAATCCTTTCCCCGTTTCTTGTTTTTGTCAGGTTTGTCAAAGATCAGATAGTTGTAGATGTGTGGTGTTATTTCTGAGGCTTCTGTTCTGTACCATTGGTCTATATCTCAGTTTTGGTACCAATATCATGCTCTTTTGGTTACTGTAGCCTTGTAGTATAGTTTGAAGTCAGGTAGCATGGTGCCTCCAGTTTTGTGCTTTTTGCTTAGGATTGTGTGAACAATGCGGGGTTTTTTTTTTTTTTTTTTTTTTTAGTTCCATATGAACTTTAAAGTGGTTTTTTCCAATTCTGTGAAGAAAGTCATTGGTAGCTTGATGGAGATGGCATTGAATCTATAAATTACCTTGGGCAGTATGGCCATTTTCACGATATTGATTCTTCCTATCCAGGAGTATGGAATATTCTTCCATTTGTTTGTGTCCTCTTTTATTTCCTTGAGCAGTGGTTTGTAGTTCTCCTTGAAGAGATCCTTCACATCCCTTGTAAGTTGGATTCCTAGGTATTTTATTCTCTTTGTAGCAATTGTGAATGGGAGTTCACTCATGATTTAGCTCTCTGTTAAAGGTGTATAGGAATGCTTGTGATTTTTGCACAATTGATTTTGTATCCTGAGACTTTGGCAAAAACTGGAAGCATTCCCTTTGAAAACCAGCACAAGATAAGGATGCCCTCTCTCTTATTCAACATAGTGTTGAAAGTTCTGGTCAGGGCAATTAGGCAAGAGAAGGAAATAATGAGTATTGAATTAGGAAAAGAGGAAGTCAAATTGTCGCTGTTTGCAGATGATATGACTGTATATTTAGAAAACCCCATCGTCTCAGCCCAAAATCTCCTTAAGCTGATAAGCAACTTCAGCAAGATCTGATGGTTTTATAAGGGGTTTCCCCTTTCGCTTGGTTCTCATTCTCCCTTGCCTGCCGCCATGTAAGATGTCGCCTGCTCTTCTGCCATGATTGTGAGGCCTCCCCAGCCACATGGAACTGTGAGTCCATTAAAACTTCTTTCTTTTATAAATTACCCAGTCTTGGGTTTGTCTTTATCAGCAGCATGAGAGCAGATTAATACACATGGTGTGTATATATATCGCATTTTCTTTATCCATTCATGCACTGATGGACACGTAGGTTGATTCCATATCTTTGCTATTGTGAATAGTGCTACAATAAGCATATGGGTGCAGGTATCTTTTTGGTAGAATGATTTGTTTTCCTTTGGGTAGATATCCAGTAAGTGGGATTGCTGGATGAGTTGGTAGTTCTGATGAGCAGACTTTCTAAACCTAATAAAACCAAGTTTTTCCTGAGAAAGCAGTCCCATTGCTACAGATGGCAGGATTCCCCCCTTCCTGTGTACATGGCCCAGTTCTGGTCTTCTTTCCAAATATATGAGAGATGGAAAGCTTTTCTCCACCCACTCAGTGATGTCAAGAGTCAAATCCCTAGGTAAAATTAGCTGCCAGTGAACTGTGTTGATGAGGATTTTAGGAACCTCCAATGGTGCAGTGGCATCAGGAGCCTGCCAGATGGGGAATGAGAAGGTTTCTTCCCAGAAGAATTTCCAATCAGCTGGGTATTGACAGGCTAGAGCATTTAGTCCCATGGATGACTTGAGTTGCTTCATCCAAATAAATGTTGGAGAGAAGTTCATTCTCATCTGTTGTGTAGAAGATCACTCTCCACTTCCAAGTCTCTGGTTGTCATTAAAGACCCATCAAGTCTGCTGTGCACCTCAGAGCCAGATTCCAAAATGCCCTCAAGCCACCTTCAAGCTTTCTGCCCACAGCTCTGTAACCAATCTGGGGCACGTGTACCATCCACACCCAGCAAGTGAAAATGCCAGTTAAATAGGCAGGCATCTGACTTCAATAGGCATGCATTCTCTTTCCACAGGGCAGATAGGGAATGCAATGGAATGAACGTTTAACTCACCTTCTCCTAATTTATATGTTTTGGAATCCCAATCTTTACTATCATGGTGCTATGATCTGGACATCTGTGTCATCCAAATTTCATGTGTTGAAATGTTCACCTCTAAGGTGATGGTGTTAGGAGGTGGTGCCTTTGGGAGGTAATGAGGTCATGAGGGTGGAGCCTCATGAATGGGATGAGTGCCCTTATAAAAAGGGATCCAGAGAGTTCCCTTGCCACTTCTACCATGTGAGGGCACAGCAAGAACATAGTGCCGTCTACGAACCAGGATGGACCTAGCACCATTTATGAACCAGGAAGCCGGTCCTCACCAGACACTAAATCTGCCACAACTTGGTCTTGGACTTCCAGCCTCCAGAAATGGAAGGAATAAATTTATGTTGTTTATAAGCCACCCATTTTATGGTGTATTCATTATAGCAGCCTGTAAGGCTAAGACAGATGATATTTGAAGATGGGGACTTTGAAAAACAGGTCATGAGAATGGAGCCCTCATGATGGGATTAGTGCCCTTACAATTAGAGACATAACAGAGCTCGTTCCCCACCCTCTCTCACCACCATTTGCAGACACAGGAAGGTAGCCACCTGCAAACCAAAGGGAGAGTCCTTTCCAGACACTGGATCTGCTGGCACCCAGATCTTGGACTTCCCGCCTCCAGAACCATAAGAAGTTGATGATTGTTGCTTTAGCCACTCAGTGTATTCTATTTTATTATAGAATCCCAAGTGGACAAAGGCAGGGAGGAATATTATCCTGTTTCTCCAATGGTTGTCATTAAAGACCCATCAAGCTTGCTGTGTGTCTCATAGCTGGATTCCAAAATACCTTCAAGCTGTCTTCAAGTTTTCTGCCCACAGCTCTGTAGCCAATTTGGGTCATGTGTACCATCCACACCATTCCATGCCCTGGAAGTTGGCATGGAAAACAAAAATTGCGTAACCTCCCTCATACGTGAAATCTAAAAACGTCAAACTCA